CCGCAACGCTTCACGCCACATGGCAAGTTCGCTGTTGTCAACGCGATCCGGTGCGTCGTAAATGACTTGACGTTCAACAATTTGTGAAGAGTTGACTAAACGTGACTATTGACTAGCAAATGCGACCTTGTTTGCGAGCCGCGTAAACGTTGTTGTTGGACGGCAGCGAGATACAAACACCAAAATATTTTTCACTTTTGTAGTTACAGTAGCTCACACACCATACACGCACTGGTGCAATGAGGGGGTGCTTTAAACTGAACTAAGTTAAAGAACGCTGTAACTAAACTAAATTAAACTAACTAAACTGCTAAGTAGGACTTTTCACTACGTAGGACTAAACTAAGCAGGACTTTTGGGTTATTCATTATCTCGTTGTGCCGATGACACAGGATGACGTATCACCTGTGGTTAAAACAGCCGATTTCTAATCAACACATTTATATGAGATATCTCATGGATCAGATTATATTTGGGGTGCGGTCGATTACCATCGTTTTACGCGTCAACCACGCCGGAATGCATCTCTTTACCAACTCAAAGCGGAGCTTAGTGAGCAAAATACTCCCATTTTGAATGCTAAGGGACTTCCATGCAGTCATTTCACGTGGGCGATGCAAGAGAAAATTACATCGATGCTTTGCATCGATGTTTCCCAGTTTCGTAGGCAGCTGACAACGTCGACCGGCCATGTTTCCGGCCGTTATTCAAGTCTTACGTGTTCTATCTGCCCAGACCAGACACGAGCGTTGCGAGACGGCAACTGTATTAACCCGCGGGGCGAGCGGGCGGCGCCGACCCCGGCGGGCGGCGCCCCAGGCAGTACACCGCCGGTCGGGGCAGCGGCGTACCAAGGTGCAGCAGCACTGGCGGCGCGAGCAGGGGTGGCCTCAGGCGCACGCCAGTAACGTCACGATACAGCCGTGCTCTTGGCTGCGCCGAGCTGACCTATGTGCGACGCAACTGGTCATGAGGTGCTTTAGATTTAGCGGAAATTAGCATGCGTTTAAACCCGATGCAAGGCCTTTCTTTCCATTCATCTATGCAGGGCCTGCTGGGTGGCGTTTTTTTGTTGTTGTTAAAACTGGACCTGAACACTTGGATCTATCAGATTTGCCAGGCATTGAATTTTCATGTGTACCGTATTGCATACATTATATTTAGTATTACAAGCCACTGCTTGATAAAACCAGAATGGCTATTATTCTTTTGTAAGCTATAGGGATTTTATATAGATAAGACAGTGATACTAGCGTTATTCTTCCGAGAAAAAAAATCAGGAGAATGGACATAAAGTTGTGTTGATATTTCGGCAACATGCCTTTACTGAAACAACAGCAGAAGTGAATTCAAAATTGCCTGTCGATGATCTTACTCGATTTTTCAGCTAAAAACAAGCAACAGTTTTTACAGAACACCACCGTTCAGGGGATTAAACAAAGGGCGACTGCCGGCCATTACCACGATACAGTGCCTATCCAAGAATTAGAATGGGGATTTAACTACTCAGAATGTTTGGTATCGGTGAATGATAACACACAGTAGTGCAAAAGTGCTTAAGCGATACCATTCCGCGGATAATGTTATTGAATGTGTCATGACAGATTTATTTATGAAAAAGCATGTTTGGTATCTTGAAAACTTCCACGTCACGTATGTTGCAAGCTTTATCCTTCCATGAACCGTTATTTTACTTCACTAATATATAACTGATTGTCCATTTGTATTGCAAATACACGATGCGAAATAAATTATGTTTGGAATGCCCGCCAATACCCGCAACCTCGTCAAAAATCACCGCCAAAAGCCCTGCGGGCTTTTGAGGCCGCATGTTGTGGGCTTGCGGTCATAAAAGTGGCAGCTCTAAAAAAAAAACGCATCTGTAACTACATAATTGCATCGCAATACGGATGGCGTAACAAATCATCATCACGCAATAACCACGATTAAAGGAAACTACCGTTTCTTTTCCCAAATATCCACCACCTAATGTGGCATAATACGCAAAATCGTAGTTATTAGCAATGCTATAACTAGTATGCATTGACCAAGCTCGCCGTCATACTCAGGACCTGACAACACAGCTTTTCGGTATCAATCATATCACAGCATGGGTCAAGCTTATAATGGACGCATTGTTATAAGATGTGGGCACGCCAGGGATATATGTGGGGTACTGCGCAATGACATAATCTTTCTCTCCAGGTATCACTGCAGGAATCACAACTGTTTGAAGTCAGTGTGAATCTTCCCTTGTCTCGTCAGCTGCTGGCGTGCCTGCTTGCTGATGCTGTCCAGTTAGTGTAGCCTAGCACTTATAGTCCGTTACTTTGCTTGGTGAAACGATCATTCAATGCCCATGTGTAAAATACTGCCAGCAGTAGCTCCCGGACAATATGAATTCAGTCGACTGCATTATAACTTCATGCCCTCACAACAGCTGTAGGTATGTGGTGCGATTGTGTTTGCAATGCTTCGATTTTGCACGGTTAAGACATTGCACGAAATGATGTGCAGCCGACAAGCAAGCTGCTTAGCTGCTGTGGAAAGAATAGTCAATACAGCATTCGACAGCATGCTTTTGTTTTGTTTGTTTTATCTTATTTCAAAATGTGATAAACAATATATCTCAAACAAAATATAACCAAAGGACTGGTACACAAGTCAAAAGGATTAAATCTGGGCTCCTCGCCCAGAGGAAGGAGCAAGACAGAAAACCGCCACCCGGACATGGGACTAATACCGAGGTAGGCATAACGCCTCAGGGTGTTTCAGGAGTGATTTAGTTGGGAATCGCTGTGGGCGCGGCGGAGAGCGGAAGGTGGGCGGCAGCACTCGGTCATGAGCAACGATACTGGGAATGGATCTGATGGGGTGAACTTCGACGGTAATTCGGTGATGGGGAGAGTAGTTCGCATGTAGCGGAAGTAAGCCCACATTCGGCCCACATTAGGCCCAGACAGATTCGGCAACACAAGCGTGGTAAGTTCCCTTTACGGGTCAATATCTTCCATCGGACGCCAAAATATGCAGCGGCGAACCAGTGCCTGATGGCTTTCTTTTATCCAAAGAAAACGGTGGACAGAAAATCCGCCTACCTTGCCTCGGCGGAAAATAATATACGAATGGAAAAAAACACGTCTATGAAGCGGCCTCATGATTTCCGTCAACACTGCCTCATCGCGCGATACACCGATGTTCAACAATTTGGCTGAAGACACCATATGAACCATCCATATCTAAGGGGTCAAAACCCCATATAAAAATACAAGACGAAATATTTTCACTTACCGAGAAATGTACGTCGAGTTGCATGCCATATGAAAGCATTTGTGAATCCAAATGCAGAAATACAAACATGAATTGCTTATCTTTTCTCGGGAAAAATGCCACACATGATCGAAAAGCGTGTCCATGGGGCGGCAACTGCGATTTTAGCTTCCGAGTGACAAACCCTTCACCCCTCACGAATCTAGCATACTGTGGGCCCCCGTGATGAATGCATCTGTGTTGCAGCCATTACGCAGGTAAAACAGGCCCTCAAGATGTAGGCTCGTACTTGAGTCGTTGATTGCATTACAAAATCTTAATACAATCGCAAAATGGCAGAGAACTGGCCGATCCATAGGTAGATGTTGTTTCCTACTTGAGAGTCTGTTACAAATCTCCACTAAGGTGGTGAAAAGTGACAGTACATTATAACTATTTCGATTAATCACCAATCAATTCGGCACAGAAAGACTGAACGCGTCCTATTAATGATATTCGACTAACTAACAAAAGGTCTTCAATAAAACAGCATCGATGAAGGGGATATCGATGGACAATCAGCTGCACTCCATATACGAAACCATGCTTTGGATCAGATGTGAATCATTGAACAAAGGTTCCGAACTTATGGCTCGTCGATTTGCAGAATATTGGCCCCAACACGGCTCTAGTTCTACGCATTGACGGTTTAGCGGCGGCAAGCCTTTAAGGTATATACAACCAAATAGGAAACTGAATCCCAGCTCTAAAACGTTTCCACGCTCTTTCTTGGAGGAATGTGTTAACGTTGGACATCATGGTCAGTTTGTTTGGCGTCGATTGTCGGAACCAAGTTCCGGTAACCGACAGAAGGTCAATGTTATGCGGCTTCGGGCTTTCTTAAACGTGTACAGACTCGGCAGTAACGAGTACAAATTGATGTGCGAGACTATTAAAGGCTGCCACGGAAAACCCCGGCTGATAGCCGCAAGGCGGGATGCAGGTGGCAACTCAGCGCTTGGCATGTTGTCGGACAATTGCTGCTATTGGTTTAGTCGGCTGGTGTCGATCGCCAAGTTCCCGTAACTGTTCCATCGAGTACTCACGTCCAAGTGGAGGTCGGCACGGCACATTTCAGCCGTTCTTCCTAATTTAAACGGCTAGTAACAGGGTCGCGTTTTTGGGTCCTAATTTCGACGGATTTGTTTTTATCTTATGATTTCTAAGTAAAACCACAAACTGCAGCAACATGCTGCAGTGTGTAGAGCATGAAATATCGCTTATCAGAACAAACAATGACACAACTGTAGACCAACGTCAACGATAATACTAGTCGCACAACTAGAATTATGCATCATGCCGAAAAGTACGGAAAATTATGAACTGAATGTGACATTGCAATTTTCATTTCCTTTGTTCCTTTATCTGTGAAGCAATTGGAAGCAATCCGCTTTACAGTAAACATAATGCTGATCTCTCACTGTGCATACCCTACTTTACTTCGGTGGCGGAACGTTGGGGGGCTAAACTCACCGTTAGAGGCCAAGTTGGACATCGGGGGGGGGGGGGGGGGCAGTGGCCCACCCAAAATAGTACAAATCGACAATCGTGGTTCCAGCCCCAAAAGGCCCCCACAATGTGATATTTTCCGCGCTTATGAGGACGACCAGAAACATGTTCTGCAAAAGCACGGGATCAATGTGATATTTATTACATACTCGGCACTGATTACACACTCGACCTGCACTCACCTCGGAACTCTGCCAGATCAAGCATCTTCTTCGTGCGGCAAAACTTAGACACATGGTCATACTCAGTCCGCATGATCCGGACTGCGATGTCCTTATCCATAAGCTGTTTGGGTAGTTCGAACCGCACCCCCAGATCCTGTTGGGGGCAGATGAAGCCTATTACCGCTAAAAGCCTCGCTCTATCAAAGGAATGAATCGCAAACAGATATCCAAGCACAGTCAACTGCATCCCTTTGCGAATGAAACTCACGGGCGTGCATAAAACTGCGCCACTTTTTGGAATCATTATGTTTTGAACTCTGTCAAACCCTTGTATGTAGTGCATGTAATGTTACATCTCCTGATTCAGATATCACATGGAAGAAAACGGTTCTGGGAAGTAGGACATGGTTTAATGATACGAGTTACTCTGGTCGGATGCGTTAAACATCGGCAGCCAAACATACTCGAGGATGTTCACAAAGGCATTTCACATAGTTGGGCAGCTTTGAGGGACATTGTTTTTTAGCGGTGGCACATGTAGGACATTAAAATACACGGCAGGTAAGCACGGAGAAAACATGGGAAGCCATTGGAGCCAACATGGGAATGCAGCAAGTTATTATTTGCCATATGGCTGACGATTTTGCCGACAAACACCTCTCTAGAGCCAGTACAACCCATGATAGCCGTAGCGGTTTTCAAAATATATTTTATGCATATGGGTGTATCGTTCGTAGAGCTAGTTCGCCACACCACTTGGTATGTACTTGTCCTACCATATGTGGGAAAATACTGATCGCTGAATATCTGACATGTCAATCTTCGTCACCGTCATGTGAGAAAGCCAAGACGCCGATCTCTGCCGCACTAACAACATGCTATTTGTTATGCCAGATCATTGGCAATGCTAAAAGTCTGCCGTTTCCTTACGGCCGGGTCAACGACACTTGTCTGATAGGCATCCTTCGTCTTAAATGTCAAACAGAAACATTAAACAGCGTGATCAGGGGTGTCGCTTTCTAAAATCCGTTGGGGGATGCTGAATCAATCAACTTGATGTAATCTTCCCTGAAAGCCTGATTTCGCGCCTGATTTCGGCCACTGTGATTGGCGGCCCTGGTGCAAGAATTAAAATTTCACAAACCTGTTTGTTCGGCTCAAAAATTGCCTGCTGTTAAGGAGTGATCTCCCATTTGAAGCTTATGTGATAGTGATAATGATGATACATGATCATAATATGGACAGTGATGCGTCTAAGACCTGGCAGTTCGGACACCACCTCCCCTGTCTTGCTTGCACGCACTGGGGGCTCAGAAGAGCATTGAAGGGGCTGACGTCAGTATTTTGAGGGGGTACAGGGCTCGAGGGTATACAAAGTTCGGTGACCGGTGCTGGCCTCTGATTGGTTGGAGCCCCACTGTCACGCGAATGCGTGCACTTGCAGTGCAGTGCACGTGCAGCGTGATGATTGGCGGAGCCGGGTGGGCTCAGCGCGGCGTGACCTGTGGCGAGGTCGGTCCGCGTGAGGGACGGGGTCGGCAGAGTATGGTAGGTCGTGAGGCGGGTATGTGGTTCTTGGATAACAGAATGACATGTGCGCTTTGGGTATTTGTGAACCCAGCGTGTGATACGATACTCGCGAAATTTGTGTGCAGACTGGTCAGATGTCGGATAAACCAGATTGACGGGGCCTGCCCGAGCCTGCGCCGGATCAAAATCGTGGGATGTGGCGCGAACTGATGGGGTAAATCTATGTGGGTTGCGAAACAATGGCCTTGACCTGTGAAAAGCAAGTCGACACATCGGCGGAGATGTTGATTATCCGGATGATGACGGTGCGCCGCGGACGTTGCGATAACATCCAATGAGCGCGATCGCGAGGCGCCTGACGCGGCGGCAGGCCGCGCGTCAGTTATAACATGACGGTGCCCCATGCACTCCCCGCCATTGCCATAGGTCGGCGTCCGACGAGCTAGAGCATGCGTCGCTCGGATGCTCCTGCTCGTGAACGGAAGAGCTCTGTTTAGAGCCACGCCACGTGAAGCTCGTGAGCCACTGCATCTCCAATAGCGGGGAGGACGTTACTGCGGAGCTCATATACGCCACATTTGTACAAGTCGATAAAAACTATCGCCGCCTCTAAGTATCAGTTCGGTGTCCATAATGCGCGGCATGCAATATGTGTATCATAGGCGATGTTCTTCCTTCACTGGAAAATTTATGTTGTCTGAGTGCAATAAGATGCTGCACCAGTTCTAACCAGTGTATTTGACTTCTCACATTCGGACCAATAGCTATCAAAGTTTTGTGGTGGATCGTGATTGCCGAGAAATAGCCTCCACGGCAACAAAGATCGTAATATTAACCTCTGTCAGTGGACCACTCATTCTCGCATGGAAATTACTGCTCGGTCTGAGACATGTTCATGTGGATGCATTACACCAGCCTGCACCTAGTTGAACCATAAGCTACAAGGACGGTCCCGAAGACATGGTGTGTATCCACAATGATGAAAACACACGTAACACAGTACTTACCTAAATAGCCGCTTTGACATTGACGCTAATACATAATCGCTCCAGCCCTTACATCAATATGACTATGCCGACTGGGTTACAATCGCCAAAAAGCGGGTGCTGACCACTTAAGTGAGTACACACTCACTCAATTCAAGGTAAATGGTGCCTCTTATTTTTTTCCGGGAAAGTGGCCCTCTTGAGTAGGACACTGGGGAGCACATTACCGTTCCCGGCCAAGGGCAGAAAGACCATTCCATTCCATCGCGTGATGTCTTCCGGCTGCCTGTTCTGGTGACACGGAGCGGGATCCCCCGGTCGATCCGGAGGCTCCTCAAGGGATACATTACATCACTTCATTGATCTCGCTGGCGCGGGACGCCTTTTGACTCCCAACAGTTAACCCCGGATGGACGCAGAACCCTCATTGAAACAACACCGCTGATCACCTTATGTGGTCCAATAATTGGCACACAGACTCCAGTTCGGCTTAACAGGCCCATGCCGAAAATGGGTTGGAGGACCCATGGTTAGGTGCTGGGCCCCTAACTGAAACAGGACCCTTCCACTGCCACAATGTGCGCAACCATCACAAGTTCTTGTTTCCTTTCATTGTCAAGGGGCCGCGACCGAAGAAAGATGCCCCCTGCCATTCAGGGTCCCGTCCCCGCCCCTACTGAGAAAATTTTGCTCTGATCGACTTGAGACACACTGTTGACACAGAACACGCTGTTAGGGCACTGTGGGTCCTGAACGGTGCAGGAGTCCCGCATTATCGCAGGGGCCTTGACCAATAGAAATCAGGGGCCTGGCTTTGTCAATGCTGGAGAAATGGCCCCAAACCTCAGACTGACACGGAGCCGGCTGCTCGGTGTTGGTGATCTCTGGCCGAAACAGAGGAACGCTCTATCTCAGGCTCCCCCATTCGGTGCAAGAGGCCATCTACCTGACATTTGAGACCACTGAAAAACGGGCGGAGGTTCTTAATGTTAGCTACAGCCAGCCCTTTCGGCCCTTCAGCCTTCGAATCTTGATGTTTGGTCTTGATGGTTGGCCTTTGAGAGAGCCTTTGAGTCCCTGATGTTTGGTCTCAAGAGACCCCTCGCCCGCTCTTCGGGCCCCCATACCGCTCCTGGTCGACTTGGGGGCGCTTGCCACCGCAGGATCCCTGTTAGGCACTGTTGCCCTTGACCGACACATGAGCTCCTCATCGTGTCAAGGACCCCGAACATTGCAAATCGCGAGCTCCGGTCTCGTTCCTGTTTGGTAAATGGGTCTCGAGGGCTCAGACGGCCATGGAGACGTATGCTTGGCTCCGTGCCGAAACCCTATGTAATGGGGATAGAGAACCCTAACAAGAGAACCTGTATTGAAGCCCACTGACATTTCAGGCCACTGCATTACGACTGGATGCCGGGCTCAAGTTCAATCGGGCCTATGACCTTTCGTGCCGGGCGACGCTCTAGCCCCTCGTCCGACCTCCTCACACAAAGCCCGTGACGGACTAGGGGCCACTAGCCGGCCAATGACCCTGTGTTATACACTGTGGGCCCCTGACAGACACAGGGGTTCCAACCACTATTTCCGGAATCCAGACTAACGCTAATCGTCGTTTTCGGCCTTGCTTTTGCCTGGGGAAATAGGCACCCAGAAATAAGACTGACAGGGAGCCAGCTGTTCGGTGCTCGTGAGGTCTGGCTGACTTACACACCACTATTGTCCCAGGAGGTTCCCAGACAGTGCAAACTGGCCTCTGGCTGACATTTCAGGTCACGAACCTGCGGGTCGCGATTCTTTGTGACTGACAGCTAGTCATTCGGGTACTCACGCCCAACAATTGGACCCCTGAAAGTCGGTTCCGTTGGACCGCACAGGAGCCTTCTCAAACGCTGCCTCTGACCGACTCAGAACCCCTTGGAACACGAAGACCTGTTAGTGGCTGTGGGGTTAAGAGAAATTCTGGGGCCCTGACCAATGTAAATCGTTGTCTTCGGCTTTGCGCCCGCTTGGGAAATGAACCTTTTTACCCATGCCGCCACGGAAGCGACTGTGCGTTATTGATGGCGCGTGGCCGACATATAGGCCCTTATCGACTCAGGGCCTCTGATGAGTCCGCAGTGCCCTCCGGCTAGCACTAGTGCGGCTAGTGCCCGGCCCGTAGGGCCGAGCCCCTGAATACGACCTCTGGCCGAATCGGGCCCTTAATCGGAGGTGCCGAGGGGCCCGAAGGGCCCTTCCGAACCTAAGGGGGTACGCACGTGCCCCATGCGCCCCCAGCCCCTCTGCCTGTCCTACTCGTCTTGACTAGCTGTGCCACCAATGCTTGGACGCATGCATCTTTCAGTGCTGTGTTGTTCGGTCCTAGCATCACAATGAACCGACGACGAATACAATTTATTTGCGATCGATAAATACCCGTGGCGATACTGGGGTGCTGCTGGCACTCGGGCGCGTGCCCTTCACACGATGAAAGCAGTTAATTGTGAGCTCGCTTGTGACAGTACAACGCTGCCGTTAAGACACCTGTGCGGCTTGTGGTGTTACCGAGCTTGGACAAGCACAACGAGTGCTGAATGATGCGCTGACTATCAGAGGGAGTCAAAAGCGTGGCCACGAGTCAGATGTGCGAATGGTCACGTGGATGAATGCGCCAAGCTTAGCTGTTTGCCACGGAATATACTCTGCGCAATAGGCATTCGCGGCTGAGGACAGCCACCAATATTGCAGACGCAAACCTCACGGCGGTCGAGCGATCACCTACGCCACACCAGATTGGGATGCCGACTGAGCAAGACTGCCCAGGATTGCAACCTATGCTAGGTGGTGGCGATTTTGCAGCGGCGGGGAAGCTTACAACGCCTTATGCGACATTGTCGGTGTCGATACGCTGTCTTGCAATGCTTCCTGACCAGACAGAATGAATGTAAAACTTAATGGTCCCTGCATATACAGTGCCCGACATGACGTACGGGCCTTTCTAATAAATTTGATAATGTTGACACCGCCTCGATGAAAAGCCGCAGAAGTGGGTTTAACATGAAGCATGACCTGAGCTGAGCAAGCTCTGCTCCAGTGATTGAGAGCATGACACGGCCTGTGGCGTGCACGCCAATTACCGGCCCACCCGGCCGTACCCAGCCCACTCGCAGGCAATCGCTATCACTAGAGACTGAACGAAATGTGGGGTGTGTGGCTACAGTGGCGATCTACTCACCGGTTCCGCAGCGTCGTGAAGCTCTAGCACCCCGTCGGTGAACAAGCCGCCAACACACAAATCTACTACACTGCTCCGTCGAACCAGCGTTCGTGCGCGGACCCACCTGGAATAGGTAGCCCTTGTTCTTTAAGTTCTTGCTGCAGTTGGACCAGAGCGCCAGGCTGATGTGAGTGCCCAGGCTGCAGAATTGCACCGTGTTCGTCTCCAGGTCGATGTGTGGACGCAAGTCTGTCAGCACGTTGTAAGTGGCCACGTCCAGCTTCGCCGTCTGCGTGTCCTGCGGGCCATCCACTCGCATTGTCAGAAGAACTTAACGTAACACCCGTCTCTCACACAAGGTGAGGAAATCGAGTGTAGTTCAGGACATCCACTGTCAACGGCCGGACAGACTTGAACCTGCGACCGGCCGAGGGTCTGAGACAATCGCGCCCAGCCGGGGAGGGGGAAGTTAACCTCCCTCTGGGATCTTCAACTTCCAGACGCCGCATGAGAAGACCAAAAATACCGTTATGAAGGTCTCGCCAAAGGATGAAGAATGCACACAAAAATGTTGACCAGGTCAAATTTGAGGTCGCCAGAATACGCGGGAAGGTCAAAAACCATGGTTCCGATAGAAGCAGCTCAAACATACGTTAATATGCCAAGACGGATACTGAGGGCCCGGAAATAAGCGTGAAGACCGTGATGAATCCATTCCAGCTAAGCCTGCTCCCCAAAAGGGTCAGGTCAGGTGAAGACCCCGCTCAAGATTGGTCCACCAAAAACCCACAAGAACAATACTTTTCAAAACTTGTTTCAGACTTAGTTTACTCTTTTAGGTGCAGCTGTGGCACACAAGTATAAGAGGCACAAAAACACTATCTTAGGCTGACCTAGAGGTCTGCTGAGGTATATTTAGGTCAAATCCACCAACTATCCAAATGAAAAAATTAAGAGGTTACCGGTTGTATGTGACCAGTGCTTATGTGACCGTTTCTGCGGTAAGAAATAGTTTGTGGTACATCTACAGGTACTCAAGATTCCATAGCTGTTGCAAGCATTATGCATAGTCCTCTCAACGCTTTTAAATGTTTTTGTAGCAGAGAACACGCACGTTAGCGCATGAGCATACATGTTACCTTCACAAAAACGACAGGCAGGTGGTTGCACCCGTCGCACTCCTTCGTCTAGCCTCTACGCTGATGGCAACACAAGTCATTTGCCTTGTATGACCTCATATGACCTTGCATGTTCTTACAGCATCTACTGTGGCCTCATTATACATTGCAATTATATCATATGTTTTCAGCGGAGTACTCGAATTATGTCTAAAACTACCTATAAAACTGCCTATTTTGAGCTCAGCATGTGTTTCGCGGAACGCGCCTATGGTGGTATGTCATAACCTGAGCCAAGCTCATATAGTGTTTATTTCCTGATTGGGGGTTTTAGGGCGCGCCGACTGCTGCGGGCACTTTGCGCCCACAATAGTTAAGTGGCTGCCTAGGTGAGCAAATCGCTAAAAATCTTACAATAGTGACAAATGAGCACGGCTGAATCGTGGCAAGAATGCGAGAGTCGTCACCAATGTCTGAATAGGCAAGATGCGGAGCATCTCGTCCGAAATAGCGTACCCGCGCTTCACTTCAATGTGGATGTAGGTAACTGATGTGGTGAACTGTGAGTGGCGCATCACAGCGACCGCAGTACGGCCGTTCTTCACCGCACAGAAGATGAGCATGCATCGGGTACGTGTGACCAACGCGTATTCGGCACAGAACTAATACTTCTCATCTCGCATCGTGTGAGCTCGACGGCCACGGCCTAACTGGAGCTTACTGCCTTTCAGTTTGCTGTTTGCGGTGACATTCCATAGACGCCAGGGATAAGGTTCCTGGTCGGCAGGGACAAAGTGCGGGTGCAAGGTGCACGCGCTGCTCGTTTGGCCGCCGCGTTGGCTAGCTCATTACCCGCGATGCCCACGTGGCTGGGTATCTAACGTAGGACGAGTTTTACCCGCACGATCCAACGCTGTCAGGCAAATCAAAGTCTCTTGTATAATGGGACTCAGCGAGTTAAAAGCTGTCAGAGCCAATAAGCTGCTCAGAGTCAGAGGATCACGTGTAAATTGTCCTAACCAACTGCGATGAAACAAAGGGCTTTCTTTATGGCAACGAGTTCCGACGCGTACACGGAGGCGTTTTTGTTTTTTGTTTTTTTCGGTAAAGACAATGACCGGGTGCCTTGGTCGCTCACAAACGCAGAGCCTGCTCCTGTCTCCGTATTGGAGCCGTCTACAAATGTGGCTTGGAAGTCTGCGTTCGAGGCGATGGGCTCCAAGGCCCGTAACATAAGGTCGACTGGGATCTCGCACTGTTTATTGGTACATGACCGCGAAACAGCACTTTGGGTGTAGTCAGCCCCACGGGTGTACCGAAGTGTAATGCGACCTTAGCATACCACACGAGTTAATGCTGTTATTGC